GCCAACTGTAATTTAAAAATACAAAAATTTTAAAATCACCCTTTCATCATTTAAGATATGTTAAGTAAAGAGGAATGAAAAAAGGGAGGGAGAAGAGGTAGGAGAGAGGTGAGGAAAAAAAGATAAACCTAGATTAGAAGGAACTCAAGTTTTGGGGGTATAAACAAAGGAAATTACTGTAAATGTCATATTTGATGTTGAAATGTTAGTCATTCCTTTAAAGAGACAAGAATTCTCACTATCATTGATTTTCATCCACACTGTATTGGAGGTCCCAACCACAGTAAAAAAAAAAAAAAGCCATAATAGTAAAAAGGAAATAAAACTGTCATTATTTGTAGATGATATGATTGTTTAATAGAAGAATCCCAAAGAATTTTGAAAGCACTAAATACTTTTAAATTAATGGTAAATTTAGCATTGTTACATACAATCAGTATACAAATCTCTACTGCATTTTTTATTAGTGTCAGATTCTACTGTTATCAGTTTTACTTTGAATATAGTCCCCAAGTTCAGGGTCCTAGGCTCACTTTAGTTCTCTTAAAGAGGCTTCACACATACTCAAAATTCCCCACTGAGGGTTCCCTGGTTTAAGGAAAGTTTGTAAAGAGAATCATCAGTTAATTTCATCAGGAAGATGGTTAAGTGGAGATTTGGTAGCTAAAACTTTGTCTTGGTGTATTTTCTCTTAACAGCTGTTACAATATTATCAGCCTGAATGAAGACACAGAAGCTCCAGAGATATGAATAAATCTACCATTAAGAAAATGAAATTCAAGAAGAGTAATTATGATTCCTTGTATTTAAGTTCAAACAACTGCTTTCAGTAAAGGATAAATAGAGAAGGACTGGTTTAATAAGACTTCTAATGATAAAGCCCTGGGGGCTGTTGTCCATTACCATTAAGTAGGTTTCTCAAGTTTTTTTTAAAGGCAAAGCATATCTTAAATTGCATTCCTTAAAACATCCTGCCTGTATCCACCCCATTTTGTAATAAAGAGGTGATTTGTTTTAAAAGGAACATTGGTAAATTAACAGAGGTCCAGGGAATAGTGATAAGAACCAAATTGCATAAAGGACCTGGGAAATTTAACCCGTGGAAGCAAAGATTCATAAGGGAACCCAAGTGAAAGTTTTTCTTTCTAATGTTTAAAGTGGGGCGGGTGTACATATTTAAATAGCCACAAGACCAGATAGAATTGTAAATTAATGATGTGTACTTGGCCTAGTGCATATATGTATACCACATAAAAAGCCACAACTCAGTTCCAATTGTTTACCATTCAAAAACGCCAGCCCAGCATTAATAGAGCTTCACATTTCATTAAAGAAAATACAGATTTCTAAAAGAACTCCCAATTTAAAAATGTTAGGTTTTAGTTCCCTGTGAGGGTGTGCAGTTTCCCCAGACCAGCAGCAAGCTTCTCTGACACCAGCTGGGTGTCCAACGTTGCAGCTCTAATCTGACACCATTCACCAAAGACAGCATTGGATCCCACAGGCTAGGTGTTCAGTCCTGCAAGACTGCCCTGCATTTCAGAGGCCAGTCATTGACCCACTGGCTACTGACTGGAGGTTCCCATGACCCCGTCCTTGAACTTCAGATGCCATTGCAAATCCCAGCTGTTACCAGTACTTCCAAGATAAGACTTAGCTATAAACCAGAGATATCCACAACCCCTTCCCAGGGTTCGATTAAGTTGCTAGAGCAACTCACAAAATCCACTTACTAGGTCACCAGTTTATTATAGAGATATTAAAGGGTACGAACCAATAGCCAGATGAAGAGGCATGGGGCAGTGACCTGAATAAAGGTGTGTCTGTCTGTCTGGAGTTCGAGGCCTGGCTTGAGGGAGCATGGAAGCGCTGTAGTTCACCAACCTGGAACCTCCCCAAACTCCCTCCTTTTTGTTTTTTTATGGAGACTTCATTACTCAGGCATCTCTAATTAACTTGTTGACTCTGGGTGATTGGTTCAACCTCTAGACCATTCCCGTCCTGGGAAAAGGGGATGGGGCTCAAAGTTCCAACCCTCTATTCTTGGTTGGTTCCTCAGACAACCCCATCCTCAGGTGCATTCCGAGTCATCTCATTAACATAAACCCCATGTGGTGGAAAGGGACTTGTTTTGAATAACAAGACACCCATTTCAACTTTATGGCTTTGAAGGGGGGGATTGTTTTTGGTTTTGTTTTTCAGGAATTAAGAACAAGAGACCAAATATTGTAACAAAAGATGTTCCCATTGCTCAAATCATTCAGGAGAATCCCAAGGGTATGGGTATTGTGAGTCAGGAACTGTGGGTGAAGACCAAATATACATGAGAAATATAAGTTGGTCACATATATTTGGTCATCACAATGACCAAATATATACTTATCACAAATCACAATATTGCAAACCTTTTATTAATCATCACTACATGCAATACTTGAAAAATAATGACTATTTTTTAGTATAGCGATTCATCTGCTTTAGAAGATAATTTGTAAGTGGGGTATTTTTACATTAAAAATGAGTACTGCCCTGGCTGGTGTGGCTCAGTGATTGAGCACCAGCCTGCGACCCGAAAGGTCACTGCTTCAATTCCCCGTCAAGGCACATTCCTCAGTTGTGGCCAGGTCCCCAGTTTGAGGCGTTAAGCAACCAATTGATGTTTCTTTCCCTCTCTTTCTCCCTCCCTCCCTCTCTCTAAAAAGGAATTAAAAAATCTAAATGAGTACAATAGGTAAAATTATAATGTCTTTGTGAAATATACAGAATACACAAAAATATATACAGCAAAATAAAACATTATAAATACCATTATAGAGAAAACATTACTTTCTCCCCAGAAGCCTCCACATGCCTCTTCCCAATCCCAATCCCTTTCCTCTCTGCTGAAGACAACCATTCACCTGACTTCTGCTTGTCTGAAATGTCGTTCACCTCCTGAAGTGAAGGTTATCAAACCTGCATGTAATATTCTACATTAACTATTTTTTTCAGCATTTAAAGATATACTGTCTTCTGGCTCATCCTTCTGTCTCTATTGTAAGTTAGATATTTGTATTATTGTTGCTTTTAAGTGATTTTTCTTCCCATATACCCTGTATGGCATTCATAGGGCTTCTTGTATCTGACTTCATGTATCTGCCTTTCATCAGTTATGGAAAATTTTCAGCCATTGGATTTTCAAATATTATTTCCACCCAATTCTTTCTCTTCTCCTGCTCTGCTTTTTCAAGTACACAAATGTTAGATATTAACATTATATGCCCTATGTCTTTTACACTTTTTTCCCTATCCTTTTCTGTCTCTGAGCTTAATTTTAGGCAGTTTCTTCATGACATTTCAGCTGTGTTCATCTGCTATAAAATCCATCCACTGAGTTCTTGAAATCTGGTGTTCAGATTTAGAATTTTCATTTTATTTTACAATTTTCTTTTTCTTTTTTTTTTCAATTTCCTCAATCTCAAACATGGTAGGTTTCCTAAAAGCAGAGCCTGACTTGGAATTCTTTTCCAATGGGTGTTATTGAGGAAATGCTCTTAGATGAAACTTGTAAGGAAAGCAGGATGGGGCATGGGAAGAAGCTCAAGAGGTTTATGTGACTGAAGTCCTTACCTTGATCCCACAGGCTGGAGCTCTGGCACACCAATAGCCTCACACAGTTGTCCTCCTGGAGGCAAGGCAGTGGGAGAGGGGGGCAGTGTGACTTACATACTCGGGGATTAGTCAGTTATTGCATTCCAGGGAGGGGGTGGGGGTGGTTCATGCTGACCTCCTGGGGAATTCCAGGAGAGATGATCCCATCAATTGAAGCCAATTCTCCTAACAATGGGTATGAGCTGTTAACACTGACGAATGGGGGTTGGGGTAGAGTTGGAGTGAGGGAATTCACCTAGTAAATAGAATTACGGTAGAGCACTACCGGCATATTAAGCATGTTTATGATAAAGTTAGCACTTGATTATATCCAGATATGCTGAAGGTCTCTTTCTGTTGTCTGGTTTCTTTTGGTTTCAATCAATATTTCATCTCCTTGTATACTGGTTATTGTTGAGTGCCAACATTACATGTAAAAAAAATCACAAAATATTTGAAGCCTAGGATTCTTATATTTCTTCAGAGAGGATCTGACTGCCTCTAACAGGCTGCTGAACATTCGTATTAGTATTCTTAAATCGCCTTAATCCAGTCAGGGACTGAGGCAATTCAGGGCTGGACTTCAATTTCACTGAAGCCCATTCCTTCACTCTTACTTTGAGAGTATAGCTTTTTAGAGTTCCTTGGTAGGCCGTTGTGAATTGGTTTGAAAACAGAAAAGTGAGTGTTCGTGTTGCCTGTCACTACCAGAACCAATAAGCAGAGATGTTACAGAACAAGAGGTCCGAGGGAGGGGCAATACAATATTCGGCCCACCTAGGGATGCCAAAAACTGCTAAAGAACAGGGGCCCCTTCCGAGGACAGAACACTAATATCTATTGGGCTCTTCTGTCCACTGCCAATTGGAAAGTGTTGGGAACCTTACACCTGGCTTCTAGCTAAAAACATTGCATTGATTACAGGAACCTGTGCGCTCCACGAGCCAATCGGCTACAGGTACTTGAGGTGTGCATGCGCTCCACAAGCCAATCAGCTACAGGCACATGAGGTGTCCACGAGTACCAGTTGCACCCAAGTAATCAATAAGCGGGCCCTTCTTTGTCTCAAGCTAGCCAATAGCAAGCAACCTAATCTCCTTCCTCTCCCTCCCCCCCCCCCATATATATACCCAGTTTGGAAAAATAAAGTTTGCAGCTTGATCAGAATCTTTTGTCTTGCTGCCATTCTTCGCGCCTCTTGTCCCCCCAACCCATTTGTTCTAGGTAGGTGGTCGAGCCCCAGTTGATTGCTCCGCGGGCTGGAGCAGGAAAGACATCTCTCAATGCCAGAGATTTGTGAAAAGGAAACAAAATGTTTATTTAATGCTATTCAGGCCTAATGCCTCCACTAAAATATCAAAGTCCTTTAGGGTATACACCTACACCCACACAGCGCTCCCTTCTCCCACTGTCCCAACTCCGGGTACCGTAAATCAGGAAAAGAGCACAGGCCCCTTTTTCAGGCTGCTAGCACCATCAGCTGTGTCCCTGTGCAGGATATCTCATTAATCCAGTCATGTGGCACCTTCTCATGGTCCACTGGCAAGAGTTCTTTGTACCCAGTTCCAGCCAAAGTCTCTCCTGCTTTTTCAGGCCCCGCGGCCAAAGGGAACACCCCAAAGCCGCGTGGGCCTCTTCTACCAAAGTTGCAGGTGTTCGCACTCCACCAAAAGCATGTGGCTTTCTTCTTCACCTGGCCGCAGGGATCTCCATTCTGGCAAAGCTGCGTGGTTTTCCCTTTCACCTGGGAAAGAGGGGGGTCTGCACTCTGCCAAAACCACGTGGTTCCCTCTTTCACCTCACCAAGAGGGAGTCCTCACTCTGCTGAAACCGCATAGCCCTCTCCTCACCTGGGCAGTTATCCCCTCATGTCCTGGAGCCCATCTTTTCCAAGCTCTTACACCAGTGCTTCTCACTTAGGGGCACAGCCCCTAGTTACATCTTGGGTCCAAGCCACTCCCTTCTCCCTGGCTCCAAACTTGGCCACTGCTATTTAACATATCTATGAAACCAATTAAAGGTTATAGATATGTTAAGTAACCATTCCAGAGGTTAGCTGCAAAACTGTTGCTATGCAAAACAGCTCTCAATGGCCCTGCTCCATTCGTCCCTTGAGGGGGGAGGGCATCTTATATGTCTCTCCAATATTCCTACACATTTTGAATTCTGGACACCATTCCAAATTTTTTTGGGGGGGCCTCCCCTTGGCTGCACCCTGTATCAGAGACAGGGATTGAATCTTTATGGGTGCTTTATTCAGATGGCCTGGGATCCAAGAAGACAGTGGGTTGTGTAGCCTAAGAAACCATCTTACATTTCCTTTCACGCCAACCTTTTAATAAGGAGAAAGAAGTATAGGAAAGGGATTTGGAATTCAGGAAAGAGGTTAATCAGATAAAAGCTGCAGTCTGGCAATTTCCCTAACATCCTTTCATCTTTTGACTGGTGATTTTCTACCTGGGTCCTGTGTCCTGGGTGACTTTATCTCTGCCTGGGGCCACGGGATGTCTCTCCCAGAAACATGTCTCTCTGAGAAACTCGATAGTTCAGATAACATCTTGATTGCTTAGGGTCTCTCCTGGAGCACAAAGGTGGACTTGCTTGCGGTCTCCTGGAGTCAGGGTGGGCTGTACCTTCAGTTCTGAAACAGTAGCTCTTTACATACACTAACTACTAAGCTTATTAACTATTACCTAAAACTAAAATTTGTCAACTCTTCAGCTCCCCCAGAAGGTTACCACTGTAGAAGAAAGTACGACATTCCAAGATCATTTCTGCAGGTCTCCTCCTCTGTTGAAATCTTGGCCCTGTAATTCTTCTTTACCTCTTTGTCATGCACTTATCCCCCAAATTCGTATGTTTAATTCCTAACCCTCAGTACCTCATATTGTGACTACATTGGAAAACAGAGCCTTTTAAAGTGGTAATTAAGTTAAAATAGGGCCATTGCAAGGGCCCTAATTGAATGACTGGTGTCCTTATAAGAGGCAATTTGGTAGGGATGTTATATAACTTTTTGCCTCTGTAGATGAATGAGACTGACATATATTTTCCTTTCTTTATATAGATAAGCATCAGGTACCAAAATTATCCTAGCATAAAAACAATCAGTTGGGCAGGTCTCATTTCCTATTCTGTAGAAATCACTGGTGAATTCATTTAGACCTAGAATGCTCTTTGTAGACATTTTAAAAAAGAATTATAAATTAAATTCCTTTGTTAGTTAGAGGACTATTTAGATTTTCTATTACTGCATGTGTCAGTTTTAGAAAGTTGGAGAAGAGCTTCTCTTGAGACAGTATTTTATAGAAGCTGCACATTAAAATCATTTGGGATCTATCCTCAGAGGTTCCAATTTAATCTGGGTATTAGTACTTTGTAAAAAAGCCTTTTTTTAATTTTAAAGAATATATTGTTGATTGTTTTGGTTTTAATTTGTTTATGTATTATATATTTACTATATATTTTTATTTATATATAATAAATACAATTACTGGTAATCAAAATTTTAATGAATAAAAGAAAAACACAGTAAGCTATCTCACTTTCACCCCATCCTCTTCAACACTTTTCTGTCTCTTAGAAATCACATCTTCATTAGTTCCCCATTAATCTAGTTAGTGCTTTTTATTCAAATACAAGTGTATAATGTGCATTTATACACACACATTCTTATTCTCCCATCATACAAAAAAGGAAAGATATTTTATATATTGTTCTTTGTATTCATTATCTAATGTTAAGAAATCACCCCAAAATATCCTGGTAATAATCATTCATTGTGGTTTTTGTCACTCAAGAATTTAGAAGTGGTTTGGCTGGGCAGTCCTTGCTCAGGATGTCTCATGAGATCACAGTCTGTGCTAGCTGGGTCTGCAGTCATCTAAAGGCTTGAGGAAAAGCCACTTTCAATGTGGCTCATTACCTGGTTGGCAAGTTGACCATGGCAATTTGTGGGAGGCCTTGGCTTCTCTCCATGTGGGCCTCTCCACAGGTCTGCTTGAGTGTCATCAGGGCCTGGTGACTGGCTTCCCGCAGAATGCTCACTCAGAGAGACCAAGGTGAAAGCTGCAATGCCTTTGACAGGCCGTTAGAGTCTCACGGCATTACTTCCATCACATTCACCTGGTCACACAGACCAGCCCTGACTCACAAGGTTCTACATACCAGGTGAAGATCATTGTGGGTGTTTCTGGAGGCTGGCTACCCCATTCTGGATGTTTGTTTTTCTTTTTCTGTTTTAACATGATTTATCCTGGAGATCTCTCCATATCTCTACTTACAAAACTTCCTCGTTCTTTACATAGCTGTATAATATTCTATTGCAGGATATACCATAGTTTATTTTACCATTCCTCTGTTGTTTACAGTAGCTTTGTTTTGTTGTTCTATTATAAGTGCATCAGTGAATAATGGCACTTCATTATGTTCCTTCATTATGTATTCAAGTTTATCTGTGGGGTGTATTCCTAAGAATTAAAATTGTTCAGTCAAAAGATGAATACATCAATTGTATTTTTTTGATAGATATTGCCAAACTACCCTTCCAAAGGAATGTCTGACTGCCCTTTCATTAGCCATGTATACAAGTTCATGTTTTATTTAGCACAAACTTGCCAATTCCAAGATTTTTGCCAATATGATAGATGAGATATTTTATCTCGGTAAAGTTTACATTTGCATTTCTTTTATTATGAGAAAGGTTTAGTTATCTTTTTAGATGTTTGCAATGTGACATGTGTGTATGTGAATTGTCCACGTCCATTGGCCAATGTTTTCTAACGCAGTGTTAGACTTTTTCTTCTGTATTCTTATGATACTAAGGAGATTAGCCCTTTGTGATAAAATTTGCTGCTTTCTTTCCAGTTTGTTTCACTTATGGTGTTGTTTGCCTTGCAGAAGGTTTATATTGTTGTTTTTCATTGTGTGTTATATCCTGTGGTAGTATATAGCTATATAAAGAATGAGGAAGTTTTCTGTGTAGTGTTATGGAGAGATCCCATGATAAATCATATTAAACAAAAAAAAAAAAGGAAAACCAACATACAGAATGTGGAGCCAACTTCCAAAAGTGTACCAATTTTCTTTTATGACTCCTGGATTTTCAGTTACAGTTGGAAAGGTTTCCTCATTCCAAAGTTAAAAAAGTAATTCACTCATGTTTCTGGCACTTTTATGGCTTTGTTTTATATAAACTTTTGAGCCATTTGTAGTAGATGAAGGCATATGCTATGAGAGATACATTCACATTTTTAACTGTTTTCCAAATAACTACAGAGTAGTCCCAATGCCAATATCATCTGTTAAAAAGTCCACTGACTTGATATTCTTCTACATATTTTATTATTTGACTTTCTTTTCTATCCCATTTTTCTATGTATTCATGCAATTATTACACTATTTTAATTTCCAAGCTTGGAGGCGGCAACTATTCATGAGCCAAGTTACAAGAGCATAAATTTTTACTATACAACTTCAGAAAAATAATATTTTTAAAAAGAAAGCTAGCACTGGAATATACATACCAGTTTGACCAACACAGGCACAGTTTATACTTATTTACCTGGTATAATTGTTAACAGAACTCCCTCACTCTCAAGTTACCCTGGCTCCAAAGCATGTTTTTCAGATTTGAATAGTTTTATCTTTAGAAAAATGACAGTAATCTGAGGAAATGCCTAAAGCTCTTTAAAAGTCAAAAGAATTCAATCTTTAAGCCCTGTGAGTGGTTATGGAAAATAGTGTAACTAGGGAAATTGTGCCTACAAAGAACTGTTGAGCCCTGGCTGGTGCAGCTCAGTGGATTGAGTGTGGGCCTGCAAACCAGACAATTGTGGTTCGATTCCCAGTCAGGGCACATGCTGGGCTTGCAGGCTGGTTCCCTGCAGGCCAGTTCCCAGCAGGGGACCCACAAAAGGCAACCATACATTGATGTTTCTCTCCCTCTCTCCTTCCCTTCCACTCTAAAGATAAATAAATAAATAAATAAAATCTTTTAAAAAATTGTTGTGTGTTGTTTTCATTTTAAATACATTATTGTAATTCTCTATCTATTGAACTGCCACTTTGGGGATGAATACTCAGGGGTTACAGAGACCCCCTCATTTGTAGGAAGAAGGATGCGATTCTTGGTTTTTTTTAGCCTCAAACAGAGGACATTTTTTCACTGCTTTCAGAGAGAGAAGGAGAGACAGAAACATTGGTGTGAGAGAGAAGCATCAATTGGTTGCCTCCCGTATGTATCCAGAGGGGGATCGTATAAGCAGGGACAAGATCAAACTGCAACCTAGGTACGTGCCCTGACTGGGAATTGAAGCCACAACCTTTCAGTTACGACAACGCTCCAACCAACCGAGCCTCACTGGCCAGGGCAGAATGATGCATTTCTTATGAAGACATAGTAGGGAGCAAGATTGGGAAGCATTGGCAGGTTCTACATTAAATAGATAGATATTTCTTCTGTCAGCTGCCACCATGTCTAAAATATCTCTAACCCAAACTCACCTGAGTTCTAATTTCTTCTTTAGTTCTGTATTAAACTGAAGTAGCACTACACAAACTATTAATAACAATACCTATCAGAAGGAAGCTGTCATTGGCATTTGGCAGCAAATCCCCTAGGACAGGAGCAAGATGGAGTCAAAGAGCGATGAGGGCCCCTGGTCCTCAACAAGAGGCTGAACAGCCAGGCTCTGCCTAAAGCATCCGTCGCAAATCCTGGTATCTTATGTGACACCTGTTATGTGCACCTTTGTCTTCCTCAACAGGTAATTCTATCTCAGAAGTCATAAAAGCTTGAAAAACATCAGAGCTGATGCTTATTATTGCCTGGTATTGTTTTTAAAGTTGCATCTGCGTTAATTGGCTTTATGGCTTTTGTCCAAACACACACGCCGATTAAATGAGGTTCAGCGGTGAGGCAAACATCCAGCCTTGTTCCACACAACATCCATGCGCTTTCAGCGTCTTTCCACACAGATGAGGTAGGGCTGGGGCTGCAATGTCATGCCTAACCTGGGCTTCAGATCTGGAACCAGTTCGTCTGGGAAATGCAAGTGAAACCGCTGAAGCAAGGCTGTGAAAAACAGGAACATTTCCATCCTAGCCAGCTGTTCTCCAAGACAATGTCTTTTTCCTAAACAGAAAAAAATACTCATCATAATTCTTTAAAAATCCACAATATTTACCCAAACTTATGTCTTATATATGGGTGCCACTCAGGAAATCTGGAATTTAAAAAAGTTAGAAGAGGTTATTCTTATTAAAGAATTTTCTTAAACTCCAAAGAATAGAAGTTGGCTTTTCATCTCCCGGAACCCATTTCTTTACCTTCTTTTGTCAAATCGTGGACTTGTGGAAACTTAGTGGTCTGTCCCCCACTTCCCTTGCATGTTGCAACAGAGCCTAAGATATGCCATGAAAGCTCTAATTAGAAGTGTGCTGTTTTGTTCTATAGATTCAAGAGAAGATCATTTCATTTCAAATGACTAAAGGTATGCACTTCCCAAATTAAAGAGCTTCCAGTCCATCTTCCACAGGTCTTGTGATCTGCGTACTCCTTGGCCACAGAAGCAGTACTGTTGGAGGTGAGGTACAATTAACCGGGAACCAAAAGTACTAGATTCCAGTTTCACTTCAAATTATGAGTCATTCCCTTCGCAGGGTCTCAGTTTCTCAAGTTACTCGTTACCGACTTTCTAGCTCTTGGAGTTGTGATTACAAGCCAAAAGTCCACAGGCAAAAAAGTTTCAGAAGCCAGAGCTCTCAACAGTTTCTCTCTAAATACTAAATTCTGGTTTATTTTGAGTAGAAATAGCTGTTAATGACCTCTAAGTAAACTATTCTCTCCTTTTAGAATCAATGCTGTTTTCAGAGTTGGAATACGTAAATCTACAACAGAATACTTCAGATTAAGATGTTACAGTAATGAACCATCATTGTACTCTGAACTAAAGTTATGCCCCATGTTCAAGTTTTCTTACCTAGAGAAAATGGAACCAAAGCTTCCTTCTTGGAAAAATATCCACTGCTGTCCAGAAATCGCTCAGGATAGAATATTTCTGGGTCTTTCCAGTACTTTTCATCGAAGTGTACAGAATAAAGATTTGTAATTACTGTTGTACCTTTAGGGATGGAATAACCACGTACAACTGCATCTTCGGAGGTTGCATGGAAAATCCCTAGTGGCACTATATTACAGAATCTTAAAACTTCGTGCAAAACTGCCTCAGTATAAGGCATTTTGCATTTGTCGTCCCAAGAAGGCTTCCCACTGGGTCCCATAATTAAATCAATCTCTTTCTGAACTTGTCCTGTCAGAGAAAAAAGTGTTCAACACATTATGCAATGCTTAAAAAGTAATATCTAAAGTAATTTCCCTTTGGGATAAGACAAGGGATACTTATAATAAGTCAGCAGGGTGTGGGCACACCCAGATTCAGATTTTTCATGATCTGGGAGTCCTATTTAAATATATATACCACGTATCTGGTACTACCAGTAACCAATGCTCTGAGTAACTTTGTTCTGAAAACCACATTAAAAGTAATAAAAATCATTAAGTCTAGAATTGGAATAACACCTTAGTCTCAGCAAGGAAAACAGTGAAGCATGAAACTTGAATTAAAACAACCAGGTTTCAGGTCCCAGCGCTGCTGCTCCCAGTGAATGAGGCTGGACACGTCAGCCACTCATGCTTTTCCCCATCTGTAAAATGGGCACAGTCGAACCTACCTCTGAAGTTTTCACATGAATTGAGACAGTAGATTTGAAAACTCTTTAGAAGTATTCCCATATTTTTCAGACTGTAAGACACACACCCCCTCACCCAATTTGGGAGGAATAATGGTTGTTAATGGTGCTGTTGAGTTCTGTTTACACTTACATTGATGAAATATTATGTTATTTTTATTCTTCAATACTTTGCCACATTTTTTACTTCAAAAATTTTTTTCCTATTTTCCCCCTCTAAAACCTAGGTGCATCTTATGGTCCGAAAAATACGGTAAATATTTTTCTTCTTGGCTCACACACAGTAGGAGTTCCCATCTAAAACGCTTTGTTGATGCCCAAAGACTCTAAAGCACATGTGAGTCCTAAATGTGAGTTCAAACCTTGATATCAAGAGAATCCTCACCTTGAATGTTCGGATAAAGGGCCATGAAAAGAATCGCCCACCGTAACACATTGGTTGTAGTTTCGGTTCCAGCAATGATGAGTTCGCCCACGGAGAAAATTAGGTTCTCTTTGGAGAAAGTAGATGACGGGTCATTTTCACCTTGGTCCATCTCATCTAAATAAGCGTCAACAAAATGCTGGGGTAACTGGGGCTTTCTGTTGATGGTAGCTTTTTCAATAAGCCTGGAGAGAAAATCATAGACCACAGCGGCATTTCGGAACAGCTGCTGGTGTTTTCCGAAAGGTAAGATGCCGATCCAGGGGAAGGCGTTATACAGGAAGACTGAGGCGCTGGCAGCGAGCTCCACGTTTTCACTAAATAACTCGATCATGTGCTGAAAATCAGTGTCTTCATAGGTGAATCGGTCTCCAAAAAGGATCAGATTGGTTATGTTTGAAACAGCATTTGTTATTAATTGTTTAAAGTCAAAAGGTCTGCCTTTGTAAGTTTCAACAGCATCAATGAAAAATTTGGTTTCTTCTAAAATTTTCGATTCAAAAGACTTTTGACCATATCCAAAATAGCGGAAGCTGTTCACAGCTAATCTTCTGTGATCAACCCATCCTCGGCCATATTTTGAATTGAGTAAGCCTAAAAAAATGTTCAAAAAATGTATCATTCCTACATCCCTGTATCTAACAGCTAAAGAGGTTATGGAGGGGGAAAAAAAAGAAATGGTTAGTCATTCCTTTCCAAATTATGTTTCCATACAACTAAAACTAGACCCAGTGGATAAGCCCTGTTTTCTACTACTCGTTAGCCATAAAATATTATACACGTAGAAAAGCTTGTCTACGGTCACCTGGGGGCAGGCAGAACAGACCTATAATTCTCCCACCACAAGACGCTGGACAGTCATGTGGAATTCAACCTGGGTGAACTAGGCCCAGGTGACTTTATTATCCAACTTCTACTCTAAGTCTAATTTACAAAAAACAAATGACTGCATGTTCTATGGGCAAAATTATATTTTGGACTAAATAAACACCTGTGATTGTGTTTCTAAAATTAGAAATTTTAAGAGACTAGATTTGAGCATACAAATGTCCTCTTGTTAAAGGCATATGTTGCCTAAGATAACTCTGGCAGAGGCAAGGGTGGCCTGAATGAGGTGTTAATGTAGTAAAAATACTCAAGCAAAAAAGAGAATATTATGGCTGAATGTTTGTATCCCAACAAAATTCCTATGTTGAAGCCTAACCCCCAACATAATAAGGAGGGGGGGCCTTTGGGAGGTAATTAGGACATGAGGGTAGAGCCCTCCTGAATGGGATAAGCACCCTTCTCAGCAGGGACAGAGCAGAGGTGCTTGCTCTGGGCCATGTGAGGATACAGGAAGAAGGTAGCTCTGGAGAAGCTGGGAAGCAGGCTCTTTTCAGACATCAGATCTGCAGGTACCTTGACTTTGACTTCCCAGCCTCCAGCTCTGTGAGAATAAATGTCTGTTGTTTAAGCCACTCAGTCTACGGTATTTTTATTATAGTAGCTCGAACTAAGACAGAAGGCAAACATGAAACTCCAGCTTCTAACATTCATATTTCTTGCCTTATAATTTCTGACTCTCCATAAAATACTGTGATGTTTTGATGTGGCTGCTATGGAATAGTTTCCCTTTAAATTAGTTACCAAGGGGAAAAAATAGCTTTAGCACATACATTTATGTAGCATGTACTTTATTCAAAATTTCATTCATAACTGGTATGTAAGTGCACCTATAATGAAAAATATCATGCTCTCTTTTCTATACGAGGTACCTTTGTAATCTATATTCCAATAATGTTTGTATAACAATATTTTAATTTGGAGCTGTGCACAAATCTTATATTCCTATATTTCATTCTCTTTCTACATTCTCAGATAACTGTTCATTCAACAAATAGTAAGTTGGTCCAAAGGTTGTGGTTATCGTTAAGCTGATTAACAAGTACTCATTCCATACATACTTATGTCACACCTACTATGTTCCAGGCATCTTTTTATATGTCACAGATATCCCAGTGAACAAAAGCAGCAAAAGGTCCCTACTCTCATGGACCTTGCATACTAGAGAGGAGAAGCAAGTGAACAAATAAATGATTCGGCAAGGAAGCAGATACAGGGCAGTCAGGGAAAGCCTCACTGAGAAGGTGACGTAAGTGAAGACATGGATGACAAAGCAAGTCCAGCAGCTCTCTGGGGGGAAAGATCACTGCTGGCAGAGGGGGCAGCTAACCTAAGGGAAGGGCACTGAGATGAAAGCAGGCCCTGTGGAAATATATGTGTAAGTGACACATGTACAAGAAGGTACAGAGGGGCCTTGTTACAACCCTACACTGGCCAAGTTGTACTCTTGGCCAACTCTTCCCCCAGAAGTGGGCTAATGGTAACTCTGGTTTCTCAGTTCCAAGTTCAATGCACATGTATCTTAAAATAGCACACAGTTTTCTACCTATTTTTCTTTTACTAGTTTTTGAAAACCTTAAGTTCAATGCTTATTTTATCTTTATTTATAATAGACCAAACTATAAATTTATAGCTTTGAAAAAGATAAAATATAATTTACCCCAAATATTACTCTGATCATATCACCTTTCATTTTCATAATTTCTTTAAAGGTCTTCTGTTTCAATTGTGGTATAATTTCTTCTTTTGCCTAATTATTATTTAGAAAATTATTTCAGAGGCTGGAAATTTGAATTTGATTTATATTATTGCTTTCAAGTATCGTTATTCTCTGTCCTAAGAATTTGGCATTAAAAAAACTAGTGTTTTCTTTGTATTAGTTGATTTGCTTTGTGAAGTAATATATGGTTAATTTTTATGTTTTTCTTCTCAATCAATATCTTTTTAGTCAATCTAATCAAGGTATTATTAAGTTCTTCTTTAAAAGTAAGCGTGAAGTGCCCTGGCTAATGCAACTAAGTGGACTGAACGCTGGCTTGCAAAACAAGAGGTTGCCAGTTCAGTTCCTAGTCAGGGCACATGCCTGGGTTACAGGCCAGGTCCCCAGTAGGGTCCCCAGTAGGGGGAGCACGAGAGGCGACCACACATTGATGTTTCCCTACCTCTCTTTCCCCCTCCCTTTCCTTCTCTCTAAATAAAAATATTTAAAAAATAGAAAAGAAGGGCTGCTTCAGGTTCTATAACTGTATAAGCACTCTCACCAAGTACCCAAGACTGGCTTCAAAAAGCACTTTTGACTCAAGTGTGCATACACTTGAGTGTGTGTATTCCTAACTTGTCTCACAAAACCTGCACATATTAGTAAGTGCTAATTCCTTAAGACATTATTTACACTATTTATTAGAACTCGATTACAACAGTAGAATTAGCAGGTACATGTCTGAAATATAGGGATGGGCAAAAGTAGATTTACAGTTGTTCATATGGAAAACAATACAGTAATTAATAAATAATAAATAATACACAAACAGAGTTTTTCATACTCACAACTGTAAATCTATTTTTGCCCACCCCTGTATGATTGTGATATAGCCTTAAAGTCCTCAAACACTAGGGTCTGTAGCTTAAATTGATTAATACTTTCCTGTTAATCCATACAATATAATCCAAACTCTATGTGCTAAATTTACATAAGAAATGCAATTCAAGGGACTTCCGCCAAGATGGAGGTGTAGGTGGAGACACTGTGCCTCCTTGCACAACCAAGTTTAAAAACAACAAAGTTTTAGCAACAAAAATGTAGCCAAACCACAGAAAATTGAACTATATGGAAGTCTGACAACAACAAACCCTTCAGCCAAACTGGTAAGAGGGGCAGAGCCAGCAGCAGAGCAGGGTCGGGCAGGAAAGATCCACCGGACTGACCTGGGCGAGCGACCCAGGCACACGGGCAGCCATGTGTGGATCCCAGGTATGGAGTAGCAGCAGGCGGACCCACTGGGGGCGCAAGGTGGCCGGCTGACTGAGGTCACACATTCGCACACAGATAAACCAAGCGAAGGAGCAAGCAGTGAGACAGACTGCACAGGCCCCAGCAGCGGGAAGTGGCAGAGGGGACTGCTATTGTCCCCCTCTAACCCTGCCCCCACATACAGCGTCACAAACCAGAGACCTGGGTGGCCCCACCCTGGTGAACATCTAAGGCTCTGCTCCTCGTACCTAACAGAGCGAACAAAACAAAACATTATGGCTCAAGAAGAACTCAAAGCCCCAGAGCCCATAACTCTAAGCGAACAAGAAATTGCCACACTTTCAGATGCACAGTTCAAAACACTGGTGATCAGGATGCTCACAGAACTGGTTGATTTTAGTCACAAATTAGAGGAACCTATGAAGGCTAAACTAATTGAAATGAAGGGAAATGCACAGGAAACCAATAGTAATGGAAAGGAAACTGGGACTCAAATCAAGGGAGTAGACCAGAAGGAAATAAAAAATGACCAAACAGAAAAATATGAAGAAACAAGAATTTTTAAAAATGAGGAGAGGCTTAGGAACTTCCAGAACATCTTTAAACGTTCCAACATACGAATTACAGGGGCACCAGAAGGGGAAGAGGAACAGCCACAAGTGGAAAACTTATTTGAACAAATAATAAAGAAGAACTTCCCCTATCTGACAAAGGAAATAGACTTCTAGGAAGTCCAGGAAGCTCAGAGAGTCCCAAAGAAGTTGGACCCGAGAAGGAACACACCAAGGCACATCATCATTACATTAGCCAAGATTAAAATGAAGGAGAGAATCCTAGAAGCAGCAAGAGCTAAGGGGACAGTCACCTACAAAGGAGTCCCCATCAGACTGTCAGCAGATTTCTCAAAAGAGACCTTACAGGCAAGAAGGGGCTGGACAGAGGTATTCCAAGTCATGAAATCCAAAGACCTACAACCAAGATTGCTCTATCCAGCAAAGCTTTCATTTAGAATGGAAGGGCAGATAAAGTGCTTCTCAGATAAGATCAAATTCAAGGAGTTCATCATCACCAAGCCCTTATTATATGAAATGTTAAAGGGACTTATCTAAGAAAAAGAAGATAAAAAAGATGAACAGGGAAAGGACAGCAAACTCACAGTTATTAAGAACCACACCTAAAACAAAAGCAAACTAAGAGGACAGCTAGATCAGGAGCGAACCATAGAAATGAAGATCACATGGAGGGTTAGCAACAGGGGAGTGGAAGGAGGAGAAGGGGGGAGAAGGTACAGAAAATTAGTAGCATAGATGATAGGTAGAAAATAGATAGGGGGAGGGCAAGAATAGTATGGGAAATACAGCATCTAAAGAACTTGAGACACGTGGCCATAAACTAAAGGGTGGGGAATAGTGGGGGAGGGGGTGTGCAGGGTGGAGGGGAATGAAGGGGGAAATAGAACAACTGTAATGGCATAATCAATAAAATATATTTTTTAAAAAAGAAATGTGATTCAAAATAGTTTAGCAATCACTAAAAAGGTGAAAATAAACATACCTCCCATTTTGGTCATCTTCACAAATAAAGGAAGGCATGGTCGGTCTGCAAAAATTTCACTTTGATGAACAAGGCACTCCTTTACTACATCATAGCCATTTAGAACCACAGTTGATATACCTCCAAGATCTAAACTGAAGATCTTTGAGAAGAAAAGAAACACAACATTTAAATGGCAAAGTATATGGAGAAACATAACCATAGAAATTAACATGTACCAAGCCAGTTCTCCCAGATTTGTTACTTCCCTGAAAATGTAGGCATTTATGACTCAACTAACAATGTTTAGAGTGCCTTCTCTCAACAAGGCATATCAAACACTATGATTCCATTATGGATTCAATGTCCAAAGACAATCTTTTCAGTGGTATTAATGGAAGGTGTACCAGACTGAGAAGGCCTGGGTTCTAATTTAAGCTTTGCTATTAAACAGATATAGGATGCTGTGAGAACCCTTAGCATTTTGGGGGGCATCAGGGTTGTCACAGAAAATACGGTACTTGATGTAGATGCTTTTAAGATTCACTCCAACTCAAAACATTCAATGACATTGAGGAATTTGTTTGCATTACCAAGACGAGTGGAGAGACAGCACCATCTACATAGTCTTTATTACTCCAGACTTAGGTAGGGAAGGGGATTGCCAAAGGCATGAGAGACAACTTTGAAGTACAAACATACTGTAACTAGGCCCATTGGTATTTGGGTCCCTGAATTCTATGCAGTTGACAAAGCAGGCCCTAAGGGAATATGACATAGGAAGAAAGGCATTGTCAAAAATCACAAAAATTCAACTGAGTAAATTTGAAGATCTAATTCACGTTATTAGATGATTCATGAATTGAACAGTATCCCATCCAGCAAGCAAAAGGAGCTCCAAAGACCTGTAGAAAAGGAAAGGATTTTAAAGGCAGAGAAGAGGTAAGAAAAGGAAATCATTGTTTCAGGCAAAGTCACTCTCCTAAGTGGAACAAAGAACTACCCAACACTTTATCTAACTAGTACTGAAATGGTAATTTCACATTGACTAGTCAAAGTTTAGGTTCCTGGCGGAGGTTGAAACTGAGTTAACTTAGGTATTATGTCCTGGTTTGCTGACATGTTTTTTTTTTAGCAGAAGTGACTCCCTTTTGGGCCTGCTGTCTCCTTTTAACAGTATTTGCCATATAGGCACAGGTGGCTACCCCCCATCTAAGGGGAAGGTCCAGACAGAACACCCATGCTATGCCTGTGGGAGCTTCTCACCTGCTTTAGCTCAGGTTCACTTACAATGTCACACCTCTTATAGTCCCAATCTAACTAGGCCCATTAAGGCACTAGTCCAGTGAGAGAAGAGTGCTACCTTATCAGTGGGATGCAAAGAACACTTATCCCCATCCTCTGAGGAGTTGGCTGAGGGCTTTTTTGGAGCCAAAATACTGAGTAAAGCCTCATCTCAAACAAAACAAAAGGCTTGGCAGAGAGCAGAAGTTCAGCAGCAGTAGTTGCAGCAGCAATAGTGATGAAAACTCCATGTAGGAACAGAGTCAACCATCTGAGCAAGGGAGTCTTTGGCACAAGAATAGGCCCTGCCAACTGAGCGGCAGGCACACCCAGAACCTTGGGGAAGGAGCATGGACTGCCTGCCATGAGCAGTGGTATCAGTCAAAAGCAGTGTTGAAAGTTCCAGCTGAGCAAAGGTGGGACTTTTTCAGTTCCCAGAGCAGAAATGAAATGGTCTGAAAAGGAAGCATTTACCCAGAAGTGCCATTTTAGCAGATATAAAGGAAAACCTCCTCCTTCTGTGTGTCTCCTCTACTCCCAATACCCTACTACAGGGGTCCCCAACCTCTGTGCTGTAGACCAGTAAGGGTCCCAGCTCACTAGGAACCAAGGCTGCACAGCAGGAGGTGAGTTTGAATGTGAAGTGCCTGAATCATCCTGAAACCATCCAACCCCAGTGCATGGGAAAATTGTCTTCCATGAAATTGGTCCCTGGTGCCAAAAGGGCTGGGGACTGCTGCTCTACTACACTTTTTTTTTTTTTAAGCATTTTACTTATTTTTAGAGAGGGTAAGGGAGTGACAAAGAGAAGAAGAGAAACATTAGTGTGTGATTGCCTCTCACACCTGCCCCACTGGGGACATATTCCACAACCCAGGCATGTGCCCTGACTGGGAATTGAACCAATGACCCTTTGGTTTGCAGGCCGGTGCACAATCCACTGAGCCACACAAGCCAGGGCTCTTCTACACTTTTGACACCATATGTGTGGGTTTTCCACACATCAAGCAATTCTGGGACAATAGTTGGGTGTCCTACAATGTAACTCAATTCTGAGTTACAGTGCCAGGTTCCACATATTAAGAGATCAGTGCCACCCTGGTTGGTGTGGCTTCAGTGGATTGAGCACTAGCCTACGAACTAAAAGTAGCTGGTTCAATTCCCAGTCAGGGATCTTGCCTGGGTTGTGGGCCTGGTCCCCGGTTGAGGGTGTGTGAGAGGAAACCTATCAATGTTTATCTTTCACATTGATGTTTCTCTCCCTCTTTTTCTCCCCCACTTCGGCTCTCTCTAAAAAATTTAATGAAAAAAATTAATAAAATCTTCAAAAAAAAAAAAAAGATCAGTGCCACAAGAGTTCTCCCCCACGTCAGATGCCAATCACAAGTCCAGGTCGTTACCTGTGCTTCTGACTAACAGGCTATAAATCACGAGTTTGCATGACCTTCTCCTCAGGTTCAATTAATTTGCTAGAGTGGCTCACAGAACTCAGGAAGATACTTTACTTGCTAGATTTTAGCTTTATTATAAAAGGATATAACTCAGGAACAGCCGTGTGGGAAGCGTCCATGCCCTTCCAGCCATGCTGCCCTCTGCTCGCCCCCACGTGTTCACCAACACGGAAGCTCCGCAAACCCGGTAACCTGAGGACTTTTATGGATAGTTTATTACACAGGAGTGATCAATTAAATCACTGACTACTGGTGACTGATTCAACTTCCAGCCCCTCTACCCTCTTCAGAGGTAAGGGGAAGGGATCAGACTGACAGTTCCAACCCTCTAATCCCGACTGGGTCTCCCAACAACAAGCTCTCATTCTCTGAGCTTTCTAGAAGTTACCTCATTAACATAAACTCTGGTGTGGTTGAAAGGGAATTGTTATGAATTAAAAAAAAAGACACCTTTATCCTTTATCACTCTTAAGACTTAGGAAGACTAAAGCCTCCAAGGGCTTTATGTGCTGATTAATAGACAAAGACCAAAATATATATTTCTTACTATAAATCACAATATCACAGCAGAGATAATAAAAAGGGTCCCATTAGTGAATAGCCAATGGTCCTGATGTAGGAAACAGACTGATGATTTCACAAGGATGATAAAAGACCCTGGGATTGAAAACTGTTGATATGAAGGCAGAACAAATAGGAGTCATATTTCAGGATAAACTGTCAGGCTGTGGGCACTAGGAATTACAAAAACCAAGGAGGATCCATGCCTGAGAACACTGTTCTACAATCCACTTTTACTCAAAAACTTGAAATGTCCTTGTACTTGAGGGTAAAACTGGGGAAACTATTACTAGAACTAGCATCTATTCTGTATTTTGCTGTATTTCAGGTGTTTTGGTAAATGTTTGCATATAAAACTGAAAACTTACCCTTAAACTACTTTAATCTATAAAACGATCCAAATGAAGTTTGTATGTTCTCTGATTTATTCAGTAATTTTTAGTATTATTATGGGCTAGTTATGATGCAGGCAGAGATGGAAAACAGGGGCACATGATTACTTTCTTTGTTCTCCAAAAGTTAGTCTATGATCTTCAAGCCTCTTTTCCTCCCTCAAACCAGCCCTACCCACAATCTTCACTGTCTCAGTTAATGACCACTCCATTTCTCCTTCAAGCTACTCAGGCCCCAAACTACCCATGAGCTGCTCATGTTGACTCATTTTTTTCCTCCCAAACCCACATCATCGGTCAGTAGTCGTGCTGTTACCACTTTGACTCAAGGGGTGTCCAACCTGCAGCCCAGGATGGCTGTGAACGCGGCCCAACACAAAACTGTAAATTTACTTAAAAACATTATATGTTTTGTGATTATGTGTCATAATGTATTTAATGTGTGGTCCAAGACAACGTTTCTTCCACTGTGGCCCAGAGATACCAAAAAGTTGGGCACCCCTAAACTGAGGACAACTTCTTCCCACTTCTTTCACCAACACTCTAACCCAAGCCACCTGCGTTCTCCCCTGTGCCATTAGCACAGCTTCTTGTCTCTTTCCAGGTGGTTCTCAGCGTGGCATGCTCCGGCTTCATGCCCTTCGTACTTGTTCTCTTGGCAAGGAATGCCCTTCCCCTAGATATTCCAATAGCTTGCTCTCTCATTTTCTTTAAGTCTCTGTTCAGATGCCTTCTTTGCAGCGAGGCCTGCTCGGACTAGCCCATTTAAAATTTCACCCCTTAGTATTCTCCATCTCTCTTACCCTAATTTAGCTTACTTCATACTCTGAACTTTAACATATTGTATAATTTACTTATTATGTTTACAGTGTCTGTCTTACCTCCTTCCTCCCATCCCCACCTGGGGAGAAAAATAAGCGACATGATTTGCTTTGTTTACCTCTATGTCTGCACACCTAGAACAGTACAAAACATAGATGATAACTGATAAACATATGTTGAATTAGTGAAGAGTGGTGGAGGCATACATTTAAGCAGATTATTAGCCCTGGCTGGTGTGGCTCAGTAGACTGAGTGCCAGCCTGCACTCAACCAAAGAGTTGTTGGTTCGATTCCCAGTCAGGGCACATGCCTGGGTTGTGAGTGGGTCCTTAGTGCAGGGATGCACGAAGGGCAACCACACATTGGTGTTCCTCTCCCTCTCTTCCTCCCTTTCCCTCTCTCTAAAAATAAATAAAATCTTTTTTTAAAAAGCCAGATTATTACATGCTAATTATTACGTACATGGGTTAAGTACTAATAACAGAGGAATGTGAAAAATGCTGTTGATGAAAACTGATAAGTAATTGCCAGACACTTTTCACCTTTACTTGAGCTGTTTCCTCACTTAGAATGCCTCCCTGACTGCCGTGCTGCCCAAACCATTCCAAGTCCTCAGGGACCTCCTCCAGGAAGCCTTCCTTGGAGCACGCTCGCCCTCTCCTCTGACCCCCCACAGCACATGCTTAGAAGCTCCCAGAGCACTTATTTAATACTCCCTGAACCACAAACATTCACATTCTTTTTTTTCAAAGATTTTGTTATTTTTAGAGAGAAGGGAAGGATGGGAGAAAGAGGAAGCACCTATGCATCAGAGCTACAGCGATTGGTTGTCTCTTGCACACCCCCAAATGGAGACCTGGCCCGCAACCCAGGAAGGTGCCCTGACTAGCGGGCAAGCACTCAATCCACTGTGCCACATTGGCCAGAGCCAGAAACATTCATATTCTTGTCTTCTGTTTGCCTGCTAAGTTATAAATGCCCTAGAATAAATGATTCTAAGTGTTTCATCTTTGAACCTTCCATAGAATCCTGTTCAGTGCCTTGCATAAAAGTCTCAATATGGTTACTACATATTGTAAATGATAAGTTGTCAACTCCACTTGCCTTAAAGTAATTATTTTATGGTCCTATGTGTACTACCTGAAAATACTCTGTAAAAAACATTTGTTTACCACTTTATTAGTTAGGGAATGTTTCTCAAAATTTGAATTAAGATTAAAGTCACTGTAGAAGCTGACACATTCAGAGTTAATCTCCAAGGAAATGGTAATTCTTGATGGGGTACATTTCTATTTCAGACTGCCTTTAAAATGAATGCATAAGATCTGAGGACTGGTTGTCTTCAATTATAAAGGAGAACTGAATTCACAGACTTCATAAAGTAGATGTCACTTGAAGTGACTGTCATTTCTCATAAGCTATTTTCAAATCCAGGTTTCTTAAACGAGCCCACATCCCCAAATTATATAGTCAGATAGTGAAAAAATAAGATTGCATTTACAAATAAACCCTATAAGCAACTTTCTACAATCTTCCAGTAGTACTTCTCCCACCTCCAAAAAAGGCATAGTACTAATATTATACCTAGTATAGGTATTAATACTAGCTTGCCCGCTAGTCAGGGCACCTTCCTGGGTTGCAGGCCAGGTCTCCATTTGGGGGTGTGCAAGAGGCAACGGATCGCTGTAGCTCTGATGCATAGGTGTTTCCTCTTTCTCCCACCCTTCCCTTCTCTCTAAAAATAAATAAAATCTTTGAAAAAAAAGCATGTGAATGTTTGTGGTTTAGGGAGAATTAAATAAGGGAGTATTAATATACTAGTATAGTGTATTAACAACTTAACACTAACTTTGAGATTTTGTCAGAATTGGGAAACACCTCTAAGATAATGGGAGACCTTTAAGGATATTTCACAAATAAGATAAAGATCAAATGCTGCTATAGTTTACAGAGTTAATGTTAGGTGGTATTTAACTTAAGTCTAAGGTGGAGTTAGAGTGTCTACATCTTTTCCTCTACTACTCTTGTCTATTAAAAAAGTTTGATTCTGCCACTTCCAGTAAACAGCCCTCTTTGTAAAGAACTGTGGCAGCCTAAAATAGCTGGACCAACAACACACACACACACGGTTCATTGATGCCAAATTCTTAAATCCATTGAACCAAATCTACCTATCTATCCCAAGATAAGTTTTTCAACATGTTTCTAATTTATGTATTTATTTATTTTTTTAAAGATTTTATTTATTTCCTGGCTGGTGTAGCTCAGTGGATTGAGAGCGGGCCTGTGAACCACACGATCGTGGTTCGATTCCCAGTCAGGGCACATGCCTGGGTTGCAGGCCGGTTCCCTGCAGGCCAGTTCCCAGCAGGGGACGCACAAAAGGCAACCACACATTGATGTTTCTCTCCCTCTCTCCTTCCCTTCCCTTCCCCTCTCTCTAAAGATAAATAAATAAAATCTTTAAAAAAAAGATTTCATTTATTCATTTTTAGGGAGAGGGGAAGGGAAGGAGAAAGAGAGGGAGAGAAACATCATGTGTCTCTGCCTCTGGAACATCCTCTACTGGGGACCTGGCCCACAACCCAGGCATGTGCCCTGACTGGGAATCAAACTGCGACCTTTTGTTTTGCCGCCCGTGTTCAATCCACTGAGCTACACCAGCCAGGGCAATGTTTCTAATTTAATTTGTAATATTATGATAGGATACTTAGATTACCACCTTCTGAAAAGAATGGTCATTGTAAAAACTGAATTCTTTTCAGTTCAAATATTTATGTATAAAAAACACATTCCTCTTCTGCAAGGCACCATTTCACAAAATTGGTTTAAAAACATGTTTGAATTTGTAGACCTAATAAGTTGTTCTGTAATCAATCACCAAGAACATCGGAGTAACACTTAACTGTTCTCAGTTACTATTATTCTCATTACATACACGAGGAAATATTAAGATGCAAAGATTGAAAGGTCAAATTTTTCTGATGAATGAGGATCAACCTCTAGTCTCATACTCTTACATCCAATAATTTCTCTAGAATATTATGATGCTTTTTACTAACACAGCAGAGATAAACTATATCAAATGGAAACACACTCAAATCTCGGAGAACTTGAGGGTGAAAAAAATGTTACGTTTGCTTTTCCTACAGTCAGTTACCCTTAAGCGATATAAAACATTAGTGAGCTGCAGAAAACTAGACTCATTCTTGTAAAACCTGGTTTAAAGATTTAAGCCCCAACTTGAAACACAGTTGCCAAACAACCCTGCCCTACTGTTCCTTCAAAGCACCCACCGCAGTTTTTTTTTTCCGACAATTTGATCGATTTTCTCACTTGCACTAGACTGCAACTCCCTGACCCGGGCTGTGTTGGCCTCCTTCTCCTCTCCACCCCTAGCACCCGACAAGCCTCTGCTGTGTTGCTTCCCATAAATGAACGGACTCAGAACACAGCAGGTGAGCTCAGTCGGGGCCAGCGCTCTGAAACTGCTGCCTCCTTCTGAGGTCTGCGCCCTTCCAAACAAGCTTGTGTTCGGCTCTTTCCCCCATTAGTCGGCAGTGGCGAGGCTGTCAGCTGGTCACCGGGCATCTCCGGGAGCAGTCTCCTCCTCTGTAACAGTGAGGACCAGTGGTCGTTTTCCCGGGCGCTGTGCGTTTAAAGGAATCCACATTGGAATGGAGGCTAGCCCGCAGCAGGTGCAGGGTTAAGGTTTGCTATGAGGATGCCTCTGGCCTGTCAGCACGACTCCGCTCTCCCTGAGCTGTAGGACTCCGCAACCATTTGTCATTATCCATTTATTCATTCTTTCACAATTATTTACCGGAGCCCACTTCTCTCTCTGCCCAGGAAGGGCAGACCCTGCCAAGGGCCTTCCCAGACCCTTGCTAATCCTCACAGCAAAGGCCTAGACCAGCTGTGCTCAAAAGCAAACACCCCAGAGCCTCCTATTACCTATTCACTCGGTCCTAGAATTTGGGTGACTACTTTGCAGGGGGAACCTTGGGATGGAGCCTGGGCCAGAACTCATTCCACTAGGGCAGAGCTTGTAGGCCCTCTGCGCAAACCCGGGAGCACAAGCTCTTCGGTTTAACTGGTTGGAAGAGCCCGCCCAGTGGCAGGCTCTGGGCGGGGCTCCCCGAGCCGGGGCGTGGCTTGGAGGATTTCTCCTCCCGACGCAGGAAGTGGGTTTTTCTGGTTACCAGGACAGAGGGGTACGGACTGATCCCGGCCGGGAGCGGCTGTCGGCCCACCCGGGAGGAAGGCCCAGGCCCTCCCTGCCCACGGCCCATCGGGCTGTACCTCGCCGTACACCTGGCTCTGCTTTTTCATGTAGACATGGGGGAGCTCAGCTGAGGTGGCCAGCGAGTAGATGTTGCCGATGAATGGCAGCCCCGATGGACCTGGGGGGAACCCCGACGGCCGCCTCTGTTTCAGCAGCTGGCGGACCCCCAGCGCGAAGAGCAGCAGGAAGAGCGCGCAGCCCAGAGCCCCCGCGTATGACTCAGCTCCGGGAGATTCCCTCATGGTACCGGCCAACGGCCTGTGAACCCCCGCCCAGGCGGGGCTGGGATGGCCCCCTACTCCGCCGCACCCCATTGGCCCGCGACTCTGAGGTCCCGCCCCAGTTTCAGGGCCTTTGGCCTCTCGTGTCAGTTACCTCTGTCTTTCCTGGCTCCGAGTCCTCTGCGTGGAGGTGGGTGCGGCCAGCTGGCTGTGGCTGTGGGCGAGCACCAGACCTGGTGGCACTGAGTCTGGAGGCCCTTTGCAGGGTGTTGACATCAGGGCGTTGACCACTAGTCAGTTCAACCTCCCTTACTCAGCAGAACCTGCCTCCTTTGGAACAGCCTACACAGGGTCTTTTTAGGAACCAGGTCTGCATATTTCAAACTAGAAATACTGGAGAGTTTATCAACACTGAGATCTTTAGCTGAAACCTAATAATCTTTAGACTCTCCATTAGAGAGTTGATAAAACAATAAAAAATAATCTTACTACCGATCTGTTCTTTCCTCCTATTTCGAGGCATTTTTGTGTGTGATGCCTTGAACACTATGATTATGCAATATTTAGATAATCTAAATTAAGTACACATTTTTTTCACCCCTTCCTGGTCTTCCCAAACTGGTTACTTCCTGCCAATCACAGAGGATTCTCCGTCCAGAGTTGCCCAGGGATAGTACTTACTATTCAACCTTTCTACCTCCACTACCTAAAATTAAGCAACTGACTGCCTACTTGCTATTCCTGTAGCTATTCCTGTTTTCTGTTCAGCAGTTCCTTGCAACAGAGGACATTAGCATGTGACTCTTCTAACCGCTGCCCCAAATGTGATTCAGCAGTGGCAAGACTTACAGTCCTCATTTAATAATGAGTTTATTAAAGCTCATTCATGTAACAAGTATTTATTGAATGCCTCCTACCAAGTGGCATCCTAAACAATGGAGGCATATAGGTGAAAAGAGCAAAGGTGAACAAAGTCCCCACCCTCCTAAAATTTACATTCTTGTGCAGGGGAAGAGGAATAAGTATATAAATAATTTTAAATAATCACAAGCGAATGAAAATAAAAGTGAGTTATACAGAATGCCTGAGCATGGAGAGATAATTTAGCAGGTAAGGGATGTCAGAAAATATCTCTTACAGAAGATGACATTTGAGCGATCAACTAGGAAGTTTGTTTTCCATTGCTATTGTAACAAGTTACCATGAATAGTGGCTTAAAACAACACAAATCTATTACCTTATGGTTCTTGAGCTCACAAGCCCAAAGTGGATCATCCTGGGCGAAAGTGAGGTGTTGGTGTGGCTGCGTTCCTTCTAGAGGCTCTAGGGGAGCGTCAGTTTTCGTGCCTTTCCCAGCGAGGCTGCCCATGTTCCCGGACTTGGGTCTCCTTTCCTCTTCCTTCAGAATCAGCAATGTTAGGCAGAGTCTTCTCACATTGGCTCCAACTCTCCTGCCTCTCTCTTCCACTTAGAAGCATCCCTATCATTCCATTGGGCCCACCTGGATAATTCAGGATACACTCTCCATCTCAAAGTCAGCTGTTCAGCCACCTTAGTTCCATCTGACACTTTGTTTTCCCAATGCCATGAGACCTAACATCTTCACAGGTCTTAGGTATTAGGACTTGGGCATATGTGGGCTGAAGGAGGGCATTATTCTCCCTGCTGGAGGAGGGAAACCTGAGGAAGATCTGGAGGGTAATATTCCAAAGAGAGCAAAGGCTCCCATAAATAAGCAAGCCCTTTCCTCTGAGTTTCCAGCCTCTCACTTGATAAATGTCTCAACCTGTAAGAAGATTTATGAGTTTATTTGAGCAAAACTGATGACACTTGCTGGGAAGCAAAATCTTAACTGACTGAGAAAATGTTCCAGAGAATGGCAGTTTTGTGCCTTATTTTATTCATTATAATAAAAGGAGAAGACATAGAGGGTTACATGAAATCCAGTGGTGGTAGATTAGGTTGGTGGGAGAAAGCGAAGTAGAGAAATCTGTGGGATTTGATAAAAAGTAAAAGACACATGCTTCTTTTACATTGATGGGCATAGGATAGTTAACAATACTTACAGCACACAGAAACGGTATTTGGGGAGCAAGATAACAATAAGGTGTTCTGTGGTTTATCAGTCTGGAAAAGGGATTATTGTGACATTCCAAAGGCATGTTATCAAAGATGCAAAAAGACAATAGACAGGCTCAGTTAAGGTGAACACCGAGCTGTGTCAAGAAAGATACCGGCCTAGGATGACTACCTACCATGACTCCCTTTTTATTAGGAAATTTTGATCATCCTGTGTGGTTACTTTCAGTCTCTGAGTTTGTAAACCCTCCATGTAGGGCCTCCCTTAAGCTTGGCAGGTTTAGTATGTGGCCCAGTTTTAGTCCACACTCTTTGTATATTTCTGACACAAATACACTGAAAATGAGGACAGCCCTTTAGTTAACCTTAGCGTTTTGCTTCCTAGTGTTTGAGATAGTCTTTGAGCTCACTATCTAGTATGAGGACATCCCCCAAAATCTGAAGGTATGCTTCAAAGGATCTCCAAGTATGGAGTATCAACTGATTGAAACGGGGTATGTCTCACAGGATTTTCAGCCATGAAATACCCACCTATTGCCTAGATACATATTATCTTTAAAGATACCTTACATTTCTTTCTCTTTTTTTAAATTTATTTTAGACACTTTCACAAAGAGGTTGTCAGTACATAAACTTTCCAATAGAAATGAACAAACGTGAACATCAGTCTCCAGCTGTGGGCAGCTGCTCTGCTCAGGCCGAGGATCCTCCTTGCCCAAGTGATGAGGTGGAGGCATGCACTGCCCTCTTTTATTAGCTTATCCTGCTGCCTCATGATGGTACTCAGCCATTCCATTGTTTTTTGCCAAAGCAGACATTCTATAAAATCTGCATATTCTGACTTGCACTCTTTCTCTGCACATACCACCAGTTCCATGTGCAAATTCTATCCACTCTTTTGCAAAAGCATGGCACGAGATGGAATCTTGTGAGGCTGCTCAGCACTTCGGATTGTCATCCAGGGGTCTAAGTCAATGCCCAGCCTTTTCTGTATATCAGAGAAAGGTGTGGCCTCCTGCTGTGGTGCCCTTGTCTGCTCACTGGTTGTGAGTACTGCATGATCTCTTACATTTCTTAGTCAAGAATCTTCTAGTGAAATGGGAAAATAATGTGAGAAAGTGAGAACTGACCTTAGTCCTCAGTGACTTACCAGAGGGCAGTGGAGATGACCAAAGGTGGAAACTTGGACTGCAGGTGGGGACACAATGACCCTGAGGCGCCAGGAGCAGAAGAGTATCAACCATGGGAAGCCCCGCCTGCCTTCCCCAATATCATCAGGCTTGCGGTATCTGGTCTGGTCATGACTGTTATGCAGTGCTGGTTTTCTCTTCAAGAGTGGCCCCCTTACATCATTTATATTCACAAAGAAGTAATTTCCCTTCCAAAAATATACCGTCATTCATTTAAATTAAGGGCCATTCCTTCTTTGGCATTCTCCCCCCGCCCCTGGCCCCACAACAGTAGCTGAGGAGAGCAGGAATCCTCGCAGCAGGCTAACTGCATAGAAGACAGAGGCCTCCTCCCCTCCCCAATGCCCTTTGGGGGATGATGGGAGGCGGGTCCTCAGAAATCACTAAAAGTTTCTCAGAACATGGATCCTTCCTTGTCATCATTTGTCATGGTTCTCAGTGCTCATCAAAGAGAAATAGCTCACTGCATTTGCTGCTAGTGTGAGAGTGAAAACTAATGTTTGTCTATAGAGTTTAACATGACAGGCTTGTTTGATGGAACAGGAAGGGAAGGATTTCACTGTTTTATGACAGGGACCCTGTCGTCAGTCTGCAGGGTGGAATGGGTCCCTGGAGAAATGTGAAAACCCTGTATGTGCCTCTGACATTTCTGCGTGCAGGTAGTAATGGTCTCAACAGAGGATAGTGTTGGCAGGCGGGATCAAAAACCCTGTCCCTGCAGGGTTCATTCTGAGGGCCAGTGTCAGATGAGAGTGTCTTCAGGGCTCCCTGCCAGTTCATGGATGGCTGTGACCTGAAAGCCTGGCCTGAGCCTTGGATGCTGGCCGGACAGTCCTTCCCCAGCACACAACGATGCAATGAGCAGAAGTGTGCCTCCTTTGCACATTCCATTACGGGCACTCATGGTTGTGTTTCATCAGAATGAGAGGATGTGAGAGTCAGAGAAAGTGCCCTGCCAAGCCATACTGAACTCTGAGGCAAAAGAAAAAAAAATCAATGATATGGATCTTGGCTCATCAAAAATGTGATATCTTGTATATCATGGATTTTTGCAATAATTTTGATGTTAAAGTATTACATTAGCACATTATCTTCATTACTGAGCTTTTTATTGCCCCCTTAAATTTTGCTCCTGAGGTGAAGTGAATGCCTCACCTGCCTCACCTTAGTCCAATCCCTGGGAGGTAGGGTACCAAGATAATGATTTTGATGACAAAGTGGTATGCAGGAACAGGGATGGCATGCTTTGATTTCCTTGCATCTCCTAAGAGCCAGGCACCGTGAGGTAGGACTGGCAGAGCAGGGGGACCTCTAGGTAGAATTTCATTGGCCTTATGAAAGTCTTCCTTCGACCACTGTGGAGGTCCTTAACTTGCCTGATGCTCAATCTTTGTCAATTAACTAATATGAATTAAACATTCCCCCAAATAGACTGAGTTGAGAAATGCAGACCCTCATGGCAAAAAGTACAATGATAGGAAGTGCCTAAACCTGCACTTATATGTGAATGAGCTTATTTCAACATGTTCTTAGATGGAAGCAGGACAGAATGGGAAGCATGATGCTTGAATTTTTGGAAGTGGTGGTGTGGTGAAGATGATGATGGTGGGTATGGGGTTTCAAGAAAATAATACAGAAAGGAAAAGGACAATTTCAATAAGAAACTTACTTTCTTTCCATTTTCCCAAAGTCTGGATGGCCTTGGAGAGGTCACATTTCTCCTAGGATTCATTCCTGACCTTTCCTGGGGGTGCTCAGCTGACCACCCCAGGGACTGCCTCTC